CCATATGGTCTGGCGGGTAACTTTCAGGACGTGCCATAGGTCCGTCCACTAGTAGTTGAACATTTAAGGGACAACTGAGCTCTTTTCCAGTCCGACAGTGCAAGGGACCGTAAGGGAATGCCTTCTTCTTGCATGCAGGTGATGCCGTGGAGTCGGACTAAGGTAATTCCTCAAGTTATCCCCACGTGCGGCTTGATTGTGCGCAGTACACCTTAGGTCTCCTGGATCCAAAACGCTGCGTAAATCGCGGTCGCATACTTTTTGGCCAGCAAAGTACATAAATCCAGTGTACTAGACAGTAGAATGCACCCAGTCTACCCCGAGTCATGTTTTAATCAGTAAGCGACACAAACGTTAATCTGGGCTTATATATTCTCTCGGAGACACATAAAAGGCTATGCAAATACTACGATCTATACGTGGATTTAGGGTATTCGCTGAAAAGCCGAAGCCCTCAACGTTGTAGCTTCATGGTTGTCAGAAATTGGCGGAGTTAAGGTCTTGATTCCTCAGTATTATTTACTCGTATGGAAGTTCCTTGAGTAAAGTGTTGGTCAGTGGTGCAAAATGAATGTGCGGTTCGTGTCTGGTTTGGTAAGAACTGCTGCCTACAAATAATAAGGAGATAGTGTTGTAACGGTAACAAACTGTGTGTTATTACCGTTTAATTACGTCCGTCGGGACCCCCAAGGAAGGATACAATAAAAAGGGCGTAACTTTGGAATCCACCCGGAGGAGGGTTTATTGTGTAAGAAACCCGGAGTTGCTATCTCGGGTGGCAGTCAACTCTGGCAGCGCGCTGATGTGTCCCACTTCGAGGCAATCTCGGCCATCGGGAGCGGACTGGCGGTGTTCTCGCAGTCCGTGTGCAACTCACTGTCTGAAAGGTGAGAGTGGCTTATAAGTGATTGTCAAGTGGGTTCGCTGGTGACCTGATTGGACGCATTGGGATAATTTCACGCGACCACTTGGCCCTTAAGGAACTGCGTCCAGGTGGTAAGCTTGCGTGCGTGTGCGTCCGGTTTAAGGTCATCGCTCGGGCACAGCCCAGTGAAGGCATATGACCTTGGAGGCAGTCCGCTGTTGACAAAGGAATTATTGTGGCAGTCGGTGGCAGGCACAACGCCTCAGAATAACTCACAAGGTTGCTAGCCTTTGGTCAGGCTACACTCCTAACAGATAGGAGTTGCCATGTTTGCCTCATTGGCCGTAGTAGGACCAGTCGAAGATGAAGCTCACGTCCTGAGGGAACTTGACACATGGAACGGAGTCTGTTAGTCAGCAAGACATTTCAAGTCTACTACTCTGCCATTTGGCCCCAGTCCCAGAACGGGAAAGAGTGGGACGATTTGAATCCATCTGAAGTTCCCGATCTTGCTCGCAAATCTTGCCCCTATGCGTCGGTTGTTGATTCTGGCGCACGTTTGTTTTCAAGAATCGTTGAATACGAGTGCCCTAAACTTGTGGCAGCTACCAAACAAACGTGGACCACTCTAATGCTAAATAACTCAATACAATTACTACCCAGTGCTCCCACACTGAGTTAATCGACTGCCCCCGCGCAGTAAGCGTCCCCATTCGCCGTCAAGGTCGTCCACTTTTACCGACATTCAAGGTCATCAGTGTTCGTCCAATCAGAGTAGGCCTAAGTAGCGGAAACGAAGAGATTATCTCAGACTGCCAAGAAGCCTTTTTGCGCGCACACGCGGTACAGCATGCACAGACACAAATCCAATTTTTGACAGACAGTGCAAGTCCCCGGGGGAAATCAG